TTCCTGAGGTGATAGGATTGAGTGCAAAAGTTAGGGTACCCTTGGGAAACACAAATTAAAAAACAACAAAAAACCACAAGAATCTTGCTGCAAAGGGGGTGAACGGCATGCCATCCCACTTAGACAAGCTAAGATCCCTTGCACCTTCAGTCACATTTGACAGCTCCTCTTTTGACAGCTATCTGTTGTAGCCCAAAGGGGAATCAAATGTACCAACAGCTTCTGTGGTCCAATGCCTTGGGGCTGTTTCCAGCAGGTGTCTTTTGCACCTCACATTGCTCATGTGAGGGCCCCCATTTCCTGTGCAACCGTGGACATCTAAAGTTGTGCAAATGTGGGTGAAATAAAAAAATGGCAACCACTGAGACACTTTGAAGGGCTGTCCATAGTTGCCAAAATGGAGATTTCAAATGCTGCCTAATGCAGGAGGAAAAAAAGTGGCAAGCCTGAAATGACTTGGAATCATGGTGGGAAGTGGGGCAGAAAACTCATCCTGTTCCATGGAGGATTGAAGTAGAAAGAGGGGAAGGGAAGGGGCCAACAGCCTACATGGTGCCTGATCATTTCTTGGGTGTACTGTGGGTTGTTCACACAACCAACCCATCATGTCATATTGCCAGGGTGGGTTGTTGTAATCTGTGAATGTGTCTAAATATATGCTGTGATTCTGTCAGAAAAAAAATTGTAAGAACATCATATAATGAGACTATGTTCCCCACAATTGGTTAAGAGCAACGCTAGTGTTATATTTTCATTAGTAACTTGCAGTACTTCCATACAGAAGGCTTCTCACACTAACCAAAGGCACTGTGCAGCGATTTGGACTTTTTTTACTCTAGGAATTACTTTCTGATAAGAAAAAAGACAGAGGAATCAGTGGCAAAACATGGGAAGATGATGGCTGGATCCCTCCTAAACTTCTGTGGATGAAAGTAGAACTGAAAGCAGCCTCACACATACTGGAAGCCTGCTTTTCTTTTAATAGGAAAAAAAGCAATATGTGAAAATTGAAGGCTAATAAAATAATTGGGCAATACAAGGATAGCGAGATCTAGTGCACTTGACTTTATTCACTTAATAGAAGAGAATTGCCTGGAGAGAGGGAGAAAAGAAGAAATGGCAGTTGCTGTAAATTGCAGGGTCCAGCAGTAGCTAGAGGATTGGTAGTATGAAAAAGAATCTCTGTTCGGTTCAAGCAAAGTATTGGGGATTACTGGCAGCTTTGAGGGGCTCTGTGCTTCTTATTGATTTCTCACACAACAAGGCCCAGCTTATACTTTAAAAAAAAACACCTCTCTTACATGTTCTGTGAAATGACATTGGCAGGTCCTTTGATTTTTTTTCAAGTGAGGCACATTCTAGTGGCTGTATTCAAAGGCATGTTGCAAAAATTCTCAAGTGTTGAATCAGGAAGAAGATTGTCTGTTGAAGGATTTTCCATAATCGTGCAAAACAAACCATAGCTCACACTAATGAGTTGAACTAGCAACTCTTCTTGTACAAATCTTGGTTTACATTTGGTGCCATGTCATTAGTGCTGGTGCTGAGGTACCACAGGACATTATTTGAAGTATTTCTGAAGTACAGTTTCAGGATACCTCAGTTGTAAGGAGAAAAGGAAGGAGGATCCAGTGTCTTTGAGATCAAGTAATTATACCCTCTCTGTGTTTAGCCAACAGTCAAACGGACAGTTTTCTCCAGCTGTGAATTATAGCCTAACAAATGTGAATAGAGCCAGACTGAGGAAGGCTGCTCTGTTGTATGGCTAGTGTTAGTTCAAGCTCATTCTATCATTTAGATACAGGGTAGAAATAACCCAAAGATGATCTTTTCATAGATAATTTATTTGGAATAAAACTATATGAACATGGATCCCAAAGCTTCTGGAAAATTCTAGAAAGTGAATGATCTCAGAGACCAGAACATTTGAGTGTAATCTGCTTATTGTGGATAATCATATTACCAATCAATTAAGAAATGTGGTGAACCAGTTTTGGGGTTGGAATTCTGTACCCTAAATAGCTCCTATACTGCTCAGAATAAAAATGGCAAAGGACAAGGAATCCTGCAATATTTTATTTATTTTAAATTTCTTATATAGTGTCTAATTATTACAAAATCTCAAGATGGTTTACTTAAGACTATATATATATTGTGTGTGTAGAGAGAGAGAGATTGAATGTGAGTGTAAACCTTTATTACAATTATAAAATAGTTAATAGTTGGTGGCTATATAGAAGTTACAAATCTCTAACAGTTGCTGCAAAAAAACCCACCCAACAATAGTTAGTTCTGTGAAAAAATCACACCCAATACACCAAATAATAGAACTATATTATAGAATTATATTATTTATGCATTTTTCTAGTATGTTCTGTTCTCTGATGACTGAAGAATATATGCCTAAAGGCACATCCTCCTAACCCGGGAAGGTACTCAAATGCAGAAACACGAACATTTCAAAGTAAAGAAAGTAGCAACTAACTATGGAAAGCACAGCATGTGTTTTGCACATGTGCAGCAGGTGGTGCAGTTAAAATAAATGACTAGGAAGCCCACTGTCCTGAAGAGTGTGTTTCTGAAGGGTTCGGTCATGGTATATTTCTTTTTCTCATTTCTTTTCTCTTGTATTGAAAGGGATAGCTGTCTGTCTGTCTCTCCATTCATCTGCCCTTCCATCCATCCTCACTGATATGTCTATATCTCTACATATCACTGTTATGCCTATATGTGTGTGTATGTGGCTATATAACTGTTTTTCAGAATTGTTTAAAGAAATTGTGACAGCTGGCAATTCTAATTGTAGAAAAAAGGTGGTTATGATAGAGATAATGTCTAAAGCTGAACAATAAATAAGCCACCTACCCTTTAGTGCTCTCTCCAATTATACATGTTTAAGGGCATTCAATGTTAGAAGAAATATGAGACCAGTTTCAGGGTCCTCAGAAATTCATACTAGGACATCCCTTTTCTATTCCTGTCTCCCAACACGATGAGCAAAAACCAGTGGTCTAATCCCTCTAAGGAGAGGTGTGAGCAAAGGTGGACATGCCTGTTACTGAGTGAATTGGGAACTGCGAGTGCAGACCGTATCCCTCATGCAATATACATTGAAATGTGGATGCCATCTATCTCTGTATTTTATAACTTTTGATGGCAAGCACAGACTTCCCTTTGCTCCACATATTAATCAGCATCTACATCACATGTATATTTCCTCCATACAAATTACCCAAATCAGTCAGATTACTAATTATCCAGGACTATTAAGTAACTGACTCATTCAAGATATAAGGCAGTAAAACAAATAATCCTCTTCTGGTTTATTTTCCTGGAACTAGTACTCCACTGATGCTCTTCCATTCTCCCTCAGACTTTTTTTTTCCTTTTCATTTCCGTGATGAAACAATCATGTTCTGTTGACTTTCACTTGAGCTCAGCTGGAACAAATTTGATAGCCTTGGTCAAATTAGCTCCAGCCGGCCAACAGTCCCTCTAAAAAGAAGTAGCTTTAGGCAGGTGAACCATTCTTGTCTAAAGGATTTTGTGCTCAGTATGTACTGCTGAATCTCTTCATCTTTTGCCATGCTATGAGAGGTGTCCCAAGCAGCCTATTTTTGCCTTAAATTCTTACCCCAACTTACCTGCCCATCTGCCAACTCTGGTTTCCCTAGCTCAGCTCCTGCCAAAATTTGCCTTCTGGATTTGCGTATAACTATGACTCAGCTGTTCTTTGGCATTCTGGCAAATTCCTGGCTAGTGTTTGTTTCTCTCAGACCCCTCACACTGTGGCTGTGCTCTGTTGTATGATACTGAGCTTGTCAGTTTGTCCTATTGCAGGGGTGAGCACTCCGTAGCCCACCAGATGTTGGACTGCAACTCCTCTTAGTCCAAGCCAGCATAACTAATGGTGAGGGAAGGTGGGAGTAGATGCCCAACACCTGAAGGGTCCCATGTTGGTCCCTGGTCTATGGTTTCCTGTTGTATTTTCCACTGTACTGGAGCTTCTTTTGATACTAGTGGCCAGTTCTGAATCCTGTAAATACTATTCATACCATAGAACTTAAGCTTCTTAAAGGTTCTGGGAAACTTGAGAAATGTCTTATGTCACTGTTTCCTTATAAGACCCTCCCCTTCCTTTCAGAGTTACTGACTCATATGTAGATATGACCATAGTTTATATAATCCAGTCTTTACCAATTGATATTTAGCATATAGAATTGATACTCTGCAAATTGTTATTATGTGTTCCCTACATTTGGTTCATCCTATGTTCTGAATAATTTTAGATGAATCAAGTGGCATCAGGAGCTGATGGATTGACATCATCAATCCATTACTTCTGGTTATAGCACCACAGAGAACATAAAGCAGATGTTTCTTTTATTCCCACGAATCTTTTAGCATCTTCCTGAACCCAAAAGAAAATTTTGGTAACCTGAGCATATTTAGACAAAATATTCATCCTTCATGGCTGAACTACCTTTGGGCGAATACAGCCTAGTTGGAATTAAGCATCTAGAATGAAGGTCTGATCCATCAGTGGATCATACCAGAGAAAATAATGTAGCCAAGGTTGTAGGCTGAGACTCAAACTTATGATTCCTATAGGATTTCTGTAAATGGCTTTTTGAATAACTCTAAATAAAGTTGTTGTGAAGCCTCAGAAATTGAAGGCTGTATTCAGATCTCTCTATATTCAGTTAAATTAGCTGTTTATTTCCATTCTAATTTTTAGAGCAAATGTACAGTTTGCTTAAACAGTTTACACACACACATATATATATCAGGAAAGAATATTTAAAATTGAATGACCTTGCTTTTTAATTTGAACAAAGACTAAGTTTGATATCAATTTTATCAGTGAATGCAATACTCCTTTAAAATACTAACATCAAACTAACAATATTGTTGAACTATTGTTAAGGATCTCTCACTATATGTGAAAAAGGATGCACTCTAAAGCTATAAATAGTATAATAGGTTCTCTCTTATCAGTATTACAAGCTGTCTTGGAATTCCGCCATTAAAGAATCTATTTCCTTAAACCTGTCTGTTATGCTCTCAATGCACTCTCCAGCCTTGAAAGCTTTCCCATCAATTATAATACAGTCCTCCTGGGTGTTGATTTCCATTGGCCTTTTTTCAGTAAACTCCATGCAGCAGCTAGTTACCTAGAAGAAAAATATTCATACTGCAGTTATAATGAGCACAACTTTGGAACAAAAGATCTTCACCTGCTCTACCAAGAGAAGGCTTATGCATGTGCAGCCAATATGAATGCAGGTGCATCTGTATCCACATAATTCATCTGATGAATCAGCAAGATTCATCATCTGATGAAGAAGAGAACTTGGTTTCCTTTCTAGAAAAAGGATCATGGGCTGGATCATGTTTAGAATAAACCACTGCAATCAATGGAACTTAGGCCAGTCATGATTAACTTAAAGTCCATTGATTACATTGGATCTGCTCTAAATATGATTAAGTCTGGATCCAATCTTCTACTTCCATTAGAACAGCTGTTATAAATTAGCACTATATTCAGGGGACATGGTCACTGTTGTCTATTTTTTTTAAATCATTTGATTCCCAGTTACTTCATCATAAATTACACAGGAAGAAAAATATGAACTAATCTATGTACTCCATATGCACACAAACAAAATGAAACCTTTTTAAAAAGCTGGATGTTATTTTTATCTAACCTTTATCAGAACTACTATAAGAACAGGCTGAAAAGATTGTGATAAGCCATGCAATACAGACGAGTTTAACAAAAGCATTATTGCAAATACAATTTTGCCTGAAAGTTTCAAGAATGTGTAAAAAATAGTCAACACACTGATGATTATCTTCATACTGCAGGGATAACTTAACATAGGTTTTTGAAGTTCAATGAAAAAATGGCAATACGCCTCTCCACATTGTACCATTATCCACTTTGAAGACTATGATAATACTGGAGAAGGAATGCCAAGAAAGATATAGAAGGACTGCTTGGTAGTGAGAAACTAAAATCAAGTGACAAAACAGTTTCACCTGGCTTGTTCTAACACCTTGCAGCCTGATAAACCCTGTGTCCTATAGACCTGCCATTCCAGTTACTTTCTCTTTAAGCAAATGGCAAAATAATAGCTGTGGTTCAGCATAGGCTACTCCAGAGAGAAATAAAGAAGAGGTGCAGACCGGGAGCTTAACCAGCTAGGGTCCAGGAGCTTGGGTGTGCAGTTCCTTTACTGCTGAGTAAAGGTGCTTTACATCAAAAGCACACTTGCTCCTGATTCCAGTTGACAAAGTGTGGGTGATGGGAGCTTTAAATCGTGAAGGACACATTGCTGCATTTATGGATTGACCATAATGCCGTTGCTCTGTTGTTGCACCCTGCTGCCTGAGGACAAGACTGGAAGGGATGCCTGGTGGGAAAAAACTGATTTGAGTCCATATGAATGTATGTGGAGCTTGAAGGAGGGATGACAAGCCTTTGCTCCCCATGTGAAGGATAGGAAGGGAATGAAAAGGAGACTCAAGAAAGATCAGAGAGAAAATCCCACACAAATGATTGGTTGTCAACCGAAGCTTCCAGGTTAATTGTAGAAAACCTTATGGAAAATTAATCTCTGTCCTTGTAAGTAGCACGTTTTCTCATGTCTTTGGCATTTTTCTTTCTCATATTTAGTAGAAAACGGTTGTATTTGGTCAGTTAATTTCTATTTTTTTACTCAAAATTGTAAATATAGGTTTCTATTTTTATTATGCATCCACTGATACTATGGTTATTGTTCATGTGGGGTGTTTCTAATTGCTCTATTTACTACTGTTTGATAATTGTGGATCACTTTGGACACAATCTTATGGAAAAGCAGCATACAAATAAACAGATGATGTGCTGTAACTGGAAATTTTGCCAGAAAGTAGCATTGAAAAGTAACTCACCAATAACTATTTAGATTCAGACTTAAATTAGAAACCTGCCCCCTTCAACCTATCCTTGTAGGAATAGCTTTTAAAATATAGTCAGTTTAAAAAGAAAGAAACCAGTGCTCTATTCTCTTGTGAGTGCACACTCACAAATCATTTTGTTGACCCTCAACATATGTTATATTCTCTGTGCATTCTTGGAAGCAATGAAAACACATTGCATGCTGAATGCATGTACTAGGCTAGTGAGATTGCACTGGATTAACTCTGTTGTTTACATTGTGTTAATTGTTTTAATGTTGGCACTTTATATAATATTGTAGCTGATTTAAACATGTGTATATGTCTATTAATGTTTTAATTGTATATCTTTTAATGTTGTGAGCTGCCTTGAAATAAATATAAATATATAGCCCACTGTTGTTAGAACACTACATATGTGTGTGTGTGCGCGCGTGCAGTGCTGCAGCTTTGTTTTCAATTGTGTCTGAAAAATGGCCAGGAGTTACATTGTAATGATAATAATTATATACAGTACTCTGCTTTCTTTCCTCTTTATAAATAAATATTTTAAGAATGCCAGAAGTTCTCTTTTCCTCTGAAAAAGCAATAGAGGGAACTTAGCTTGGCAAAGCAGTATTAAAATGGAAGCTGTTTTGCCAGTTTGTATGCTTGTGTGTGCTAAACAAATAATAACAAGGTTATCTGAAAATGCAGCTTCTCTGGTCTGGGATCCCAGTGATAAATATTAATTTCAAAAATTGTTTCATTAGATGACTGTACTTCTACTTACTGAAGAGTGCATGCTTTCAGCAATTTCATTGTTCAAACAATAGTATAATTTCTCCATATATAACCCTTTAGAGTCTGGTGAGAATACTTCTTGTAAATGCACGGTAAACTTAGTCAATATCTCAAACTCTGTGCCTTAGCCAAAAATGAGCATTCTGCCAAAGCGCTTTTCCCCCAATTATTAGTAGTTAGTAGGAGTGCTATGAATAATTGATACCTCTTCCCTCACATTATTGTCCTCTCCATCGACAAATGACCTGGAAGACGGCTCAGAGATGGCTGCAACATGCTTGAGAATTTGGTCCAAATCTTTCAGTATAATTTCTGTCTCGGAGACAACTAATAACACAACAATATTAATAATTTAGATAAACTATATATTGTATATTCATGCAATGCTATTTCATTGCTCAGTCAACTGCCTGGACAGTAGAAGCAGCAATCACTTCATTTCTAAATAAAAAATGCATTTAAAATGACATTAATCCTGTGCAACAAAATACAGTGATGTGTAGCATTAACATAATTTGAAACTTATTTAAATTTATTAGTGCCTACATCCAGGCTAATATGACTGGCTTCTATTGGCAGCAATATTTGTACCCATTCTTTAACATTTTATGGGTATAAACCTATGACTGCTAGGCACTGCCTAGACAGCCATAAGGTAGGTTGTTGGAGTTCCAGCTCTAAGTTTCAAGTGCAGTGCTGGAATTCCATCCACAGAGTGCCCACCCTCTGGCCTCACAGGGAGTGAAGTTCTTCGAAATCATCCACGTCTGCCTTTTCCAGGGCAAAAGAAGTACAGAGACAATCCTTGTCTCCATGCTGCCTTCAACTAGATGCCTGTCATCCTCTGAGTTTGGAGGTTTAAGGACAACCTCACTGGATGATGACCTAAGAGAGATAACTTTCCTTATATTCTGCTCCATAGAAACCAGTTGAGATAGAGATTAGATGATGGTGTCAAAGTTATGATGATTAATTTGAATACAACTTTTTCAGTTATTGAAATGGATTGCAAATGAGAACAATACATACAAATAACAAACAGTTACAATCCTACTTATAGATGAGGAGGGAACTTGTGTGTGTGTGGTTCTTTTTTTTTTTTTTTACATTTGGTGAATTTACCCAATAGCATGTAGGGTTTGGGTTAGAGTTAGGGTCTGACAAATATGATTGGTTTTCTCTTAAAGACAAACTCAACATTAATTTTATTAAGAGCACAATCCTATGGAAGTTTAAACAGAGAAATTACCTAGACCTCCCAATATTGCCCAGCCACCATACTGACTGGAGAGGACTGGGAAATGTAGGTATAAACATGCAAAAGGCTGTACCCTCAATTACACAAAAATATCTTCCCCAGCTATCATTATGAAATAATATCATACATCATTGATATAGCTATATGGGATGTACTGAAGGATGGATAACATTTAGAGCATAAATGAGTGGGTAATGAATACAGATTTTCTGCAAAGAATATGTTTTCTTAGAAACTGGCAATTTTTAATAAAATGTTAGAGAAGTAGTGGTCCTTTTACAACCAGTATTTCTGGGTTAGGTCCAAACTATATTAAGTTAGACATACTTGTCTTTGAAATCCATGAGAATTAAATACAGACTAACAGAAAAATTCTAATCCTCAGATGTGCTGTCTGGAGAGGGTTAGGATGATGCAACAATGCCCTTCTGTGATTAGAGAAGGGTTATGCTAATGAAGGAGGCACACTTGCCGAGGTACCCCTCAGTGGGCCCACAGAAAGTCCCATGCCAGACTTCCACAGCGTGCCCTCAGCAAGTTCCATAGATATGCTACCAAGTAGGGCTTTCTCCCGTGGTACGTAGTTCCCCAAACTTGGTGTTCTATGGCTGGTCACAGTGGAGTTGGATCCATAAGAGCTGTCATAGCTTTCTTCCTTCCCAGTGAAATCAACTGGGATGGGCAACTGCTTGAGAAGAAAAGGGGTGTGATCGTTCCACACACTGCAAGTTCTGGGCAGCACAAGCTTCCAGAGCTTTGAAAGTTCTGAACAAAGCTGCTGCTTCACTCCTGCTCTATATTCTGCCTCTTTATGTCTCACTTATTCCATTGGGACCAAACTTCAATGAACTTCATCTGAATCCAGCCCTGTATGTTGGTTCTATTTTCATTGTAGTTTTTATTTGTGGACTTGTTTGCTTCTCCCTTACACATTAAAAAAAACTTATGCATGTCAATATTAAAATTTCAAAGGTGGAAACAGGAATCTGTCCACAACTCTGCTCATCGCCTCTCCCTATCATCTATCTTTCAACCCTGCTTCCATTTTGAATCACTCATTTTCAGATCAGGCAAATTGGTAAGAATGGTCAATTTGTTTAATGTAATTTTTAAAACATTTCCTATTTTAATACTATTAGCTTGAGGAAATTTACTGCATTTGTTTTTACTTCAAAGACATGAAAGAAACTAAACAACACAATTATTCCAAATAACTTAACTTGCTAAAATAAAAATGCTCAGTGGTGCTCCTGGCAGCAAGAGCTAATAAAGCATCAAGCAGAGCCTTACACTTGGGGTTAGATGTAATCTAAACCAATTTTCCCTGGTGTCAGTTAGATGTCTAAGGTAAGTTATTGAGTCCATTTATTGCATGACACTTTCAGAAGCTACTAATCATTAATAGCAGGATTTACACGGAAAGGACATTTGTATATTTTGTTCCGCAGTTAGGGTGTCAACACCTCTGCTCATTAAGTACAAAATAATACAAAATAAATAATAAATAGTGTGCATGGCAAGGTATTGTTTGGCATTCATTTACCTATAAATGAATGATTATAGGCCACACATGCTTTTTACAAAATATAAGGAAGCTATTTCTGGAGATCATTTCAGAGAAACCCAGTGCTGATTGATACCATCCCTGTACCGGTACTTTAGTACAGAAAAAAGTCTATCTGTGAAACTCACCAGTCATTTCCAACCTCTGGTTCTGAAGAAAAATTACTTCATCCCCTATACTGCATTTCCCCCAATATCCACCACCTGATAGCTTTTCCTACACAACACAGCTGGAAAACCTCCTGAATGTGCCACATAGTGGCATCCTTTCACCATGAGACATTATGTCAAGTTGAATTTTTGAGGATATTCTGTACTGAAAATCACTCATTATTTGTGTTAGGCTGCATATGAGTTGTTAAGATTTTTCTCTCCTTTATCAAAATAAAATGCATTGTTAAGTCTCTTGATAATGTGTAAAGATTTAAAATTGTTTATATTTGTAAACATTAAGTTTTCCTCCTATACCATATTTTCCTGATTTGGAACACAATTCAAAAGCCACTGAAGCCTATAGCAACATTATCACGGCTTTTAATGAAGCCGAATGACAATTTTTATTACTAGATAAAACACTTGCACTGATGGGAAAAGTAGAGGAGTTAAGGCTGTAAGCTGAACTTTAATAAATTTAGTCAGCAGATACTTCTGTCTGTGTTAATGTTAACTAATAACCCTCCTACTGTGGTTTAGAAGGAAACAGGGCAGCAGGAAACATTTAATTTACGGTAGCTTCTTGCTGTTTTTGCAAACGTGGCTGTCAGAGTACTAAGTAAACACTTTGTACACGATTTTAAAAACACCTAGTATAAAGAGATTTTTATTTTGGAAAGAGGGGAAAATCACAGCAACTCATCTCTTAGAAAATAACCTTAAACAGAGTATCGTCAAATTCCATATGACATAGTTTCTCATGGCAGTAGGATTACATGGATACACAATTTATTTGGATCAACCATTGATGCCCTAGAAATATGATTAAAAGTTCACAGCTCATCACTAATTATTATTGCTTTATGCATATTAAAAAGCTACCTTGAAGCTAATGAATCCTGTATTTCAATCATTACAATCCCCATGTAAATCCACTAGAAAAAACAAATGATTTACTCTTGTGTATGAACTCATCTCCGAATTTCTATTACAGAGGCTCAAATAGTAGAATGAAAGCAGGACTGAGATAGGTCATAACAAAATTCAAACTATACCGATGGACTATATCTTAAATATTATACATATCCCAGATTATTCAGAAATATAACAATTTATAATATCTTTCCCAAAATGTTAAGCATTTAAATATTACAGGATCTTAGAATTTGAAGAGAAATCATTCATGGGCCATGAAGTCTACCCATGCCTGACCAGGTTCACACAAAATACACAACCCACATTTATCAAACCATGTAGGAGCACGAAGGAACAAGCAAATGTACTGACTCATGACTGCCTGTCTTCCCCTACTGTTCTGAACAACATAGGATGACCTATTCCTGAACAGTTCTCTGTAATATGTGAACCCAACTTTGGATTGTTGAGGGAGAAACAACACTAATTTGAACCCACTGTTAGATTCAAATTCAGGATTGCTTTTCCCTTCAACAACTCCAAGTTTTGGGTTTCCACATCACAAAGAATAACCATCCTTGGATTGTTTAGCAGAGTGGAAGCACGTGTGCAAGATGGAGCCAACACGCATGCTCCCAAACAACCCACAGTTCATTGTAGGTTGCTCAGGGTGTGTAAATGGGGTTAATGTCTATATCATAAGATCATTAACAGAGGTCCTTTCCCAAGAGGCTTCTCAGTCTGAAATGTGGAGCGTGGCTGTAAAGGAGAAGGTCTTCTTACTGGAGGTGCTCCAGTTATGAAATACTCTTCCTAGAGAGGCTCACTTGATGTATTTTTGGCAGCAGGAAAAGCAGTTTATGTTCTCCCAGGCCTTTAAACCTCCTCTCATTCTGAACAAAATACTGATGCGATTATCACTGTTTCTCTTTTCATCTTGGCTATGTTGCTTTTAGCTCTTGTGTTTTAGCTCTTTTAAAACAGTTTTAGCTCTCTGTGTGATGAGGTGAATGTTTGACAGAGCTGCTAGTAGATTTTATAGACATTTTTATTATCTGAGCTATTTTGGATGTTTCTGTGTTACTTTTACATCACCTAAACAACCATACCCTGCACTGATTAACAAATATAAATGAAAAGAAAGGTGGCTTCCCATTGGTGATCCTCTACTGATGGAAGGCATTTATCAGAGGAAAAAGAGGGCAAAATTTTCAACTGTTCCTGCTCTCACCTCCAGCTCCCCATGCAGAAGTTGCCAAAAAGCAGCTCCCTGCTGCTGACAGATGCCTTCTGCCAACACAGGAAAACCAATTGGCTACCTTCTCAATAAACAAACAAACAAACAAACAAATAATCAATTTCCTTGACAGCTTCCTTGTTTTTATATATATTATATTTTTAAACCATCCAATGGAGGAAGTCAAATTTCTTCACAAGTCAGACAGCTTTTATTGTTGAGCAGCTATTAGAGGATGTTTAGAGCCATGTGTTACATTGCCTGCATGTTTTACCTGTGTGTCACACCTCAACCTCTGCCTATTCCCACATTGTAAATAGCTGCCTGACTTCTCTCTCTCTCTCTCTTTCTCTATGTGTGAGAGAAAGAAAGAGAGGGAGAGACAGACAGACAGTCAGACAGACAGAGAATGAAATGTATTTTAAATCATTACTGTATAGAGAGCTACACCTTCACCTTCTTTAGCTGTTTGGTGCTGGGCATGCTGCTGCTCAATACAACCGAAGGAAGCATTGTACCTGTGTGCTACAATATAATATTGCTGAATCATGTTTTGTTTGTTATCTGTAAGCCACCGCGACAGTTCTACTGCTAAATATTCTTTGCCTTGTATATATGTCTTTACTCCTTTTATCTTTATCACTTGCATATAGTTGCTAAAAATTTCTGCACTCAATATCTGGTCTTTGATATGGAATAGAAAAGAACAGACAGAAGATATACAGCTGCACATGTTTTACTTAAAAAGTATAACCCAACATTCATTTCAGGTGAAAGCTAGCACTAGCTGCTGTGATCTGTATGCTCATATGCTTGGTGACAGACATAAGATAGAAACTCAATATGAAGGATCCATTCTGTTGCCTGAATATCATGTTCCTTGGAACTCTACAATAAGGTTAAAATGGAATTTGCCAGCGCTGAAATGGCTTCAATATTCGTAGCAGCACAAAGGGCATAATGGAGCATTTGGACTGAGCTGTCGTCGAGATGTAGGTAAAAAAGGATCATGGTTAAAGCCTTAAAAAGAGAGAGAAGTCCCTCATTTGCAGAGGCACAGGGCAGTATCTTATGGGGCACTTATACTCCTGCCATTTCTTTTCCTCCCTGCCAATTCAGTTGTGCACAGGGTGGGTCCTACACTTATTTTTCTTATATTTATATCACCCTTTTACTTTTCAAGGAACTCAAGTTGGCTTACATCATTGTCCTCTTCTTCATCTTATCCTCACAACAACTTTGTAATGTAGGCTGGGTTGAGAGTCCATGGCTTGCCAGAGTCACCAGTGAGCTCCATGACTGAGTGGGGACTAGAACTCAAAACTCTTGAGTCCCAATCCCACATTTACACAAGGGAAATGTAGCAGTTCCTAGGGTAAGCCCTGAACTAAGCAAAAATGCTTATTCCTCGAAGGAGGAGGATTGATGAAGCTCCCTCACATAAACTCTGCAAACCTGCTTCTTTTCAGGAATGACCAATTTCTACTTGTTTTGGGCTGCCCTGAAAGGATGAGCCCTTGTGCAAGGAGTATGGGTTGCTTATACAATGTAATTGGTGGAGCGCAGTAGAATCAGAAGGAGTGAAATGCCCAGTTGGATTCTTCCTTTTGCCTATGGACTAGTATACAGCTTCACAAGAAGTACTACCCATCAAATACAGCTTGATAGGAGTCCTAGATGGTACAACAGCAAACATAGCAAGTATTCATTCTTTTCCTCCTTCCTCACTTTTAACAACATTGTCCCTTGACCCAAGTAAGATATGGCAGTGCAACAGCTACAAACAGACTGCTAATAAACACTTTACCAGTCAATACTTAGGTAATGGTATTTCATACCATTGTTCAAGTAAAATATTAGGAAGTCAAAATCTCCATCTATAATCAAATCTGTCTGCAAACTCCTTTAGCAAAAACCAGTGAATCCACTTTAAGCATTCAATCATTTATACTTTACTAATGTATCTGATGAAATATGACCTAGCTTGTGACCCAAGTGAAAAAAGGCCCTTATTCCACAATGGGCTTTATAATGTCATGGAATCCTTGTGCCAGGAAAACATACTTTTTAAACTGAACTTAAAAGTTAAGTGCTTGCTTTACTACAAGAATTTGGGACAGGCAACAGTATACTTTTTATATGAATCTTTTCCTCCTTGATCCTGGCAACTAAAGCCAGATTGACTAAGAAGCTTATTCTGTAATTGGAGGGACATTTAAGTCCAAAACATCTGGAAGGCACCAAGCTGGGGAAGGTCACGCTAGTGAAAGGGAGCTCCAAAGCTCAAGAATGCCTCATGGTTTTGGAGTTTACCACTCAGATCCTCTGTACTTCAGACCTCCAGAAATTAAGTGAAATTAATCAACATGACATTGTCATGCTAGGACATGAAGCACATATTCTATATCCTACAGAAATATGAATATGTCTTCAAAACTTTGATTTTCCTAATTATAGTCATACAAACCTAGATTTTCTGCTGACAGGATATCTTCCGAGCTTGCTATTTCAAGTGAACATGTAAGCATTCTTTTTCTAAAAGAAGAAAATGATAAAAAAAATTTAAAGTATTTGCTATGAATCACCCAGAATAGTTAGATCATACCTAGAAATTATTTGTGCAAAGCACCTCATCATTAAAACTTAAACGTTATCTCAAACCACTTGATCATTTTTAATAGGATTATGCCCCCCGATAAGATGTTTTAGGAGCAGCAATGTTTCTTTATACCTTCATTGAGATCAGTGTAGTTACAGCCAACTTTTAGTACCAAAATGTTTGAGCTCTCTGCTATATCTGCTAATCAAATAGCTAAATAGTGTAAACCGTGGGTGGGCAATAATGGAATGTCCTGGGGTCATTGGTTCCAAAATGATGATAATCTTTTTCCAAGCAAACACTGACCCCTTGCATTGCTGGCCCTGCACCTCTCCTCTGCCCAGCTCCTACCTTGCCTTCGCCAGTTTCCTGGCCACCCTCTGCACACTATCCCAGCCTCTGCTGCTCTGCCAGGAGCCAAGAGAGCTCACAGCGGCTAAGCGAGGCTTTATAAGACTCAGAGGCCGCTGCCCCCCTCCCCCGCTTCTTCCTATCTGTAATAACTAAACAACAAAAATCAAAGTACGCTGAGATACAAGCTGGAAGTTTGATCTGCTACCACATAAACTAAATAATTCAGGAAAGGTAAATATGCAATTAATAAAAATATGAATGTTTAAACTACATAAAATGGCTCAATTTTTAACTTCCAATTCCTTCAAGGTGCTCTTCAAAGCATTTTTTTCCTTTCAATCCTTAGGGCACAGTTCAGTCATACTGGAAATACAACAGAGAATGCATTTAGGTATGCATTATGTATTTCCTGGGAATCTCTATCCCACCTGTTAGTCAAAGGAACTTTTGAATGAGAGGTGGAATAGAAATATTCCAATAAAGGAAGAGAGTATGAAGAGTGTTTTTAAAGTATTCAGGTCACAGTCCAATTTGAATGTCTACTCCCCTCTACAACTCAGAGGGTTATGGGCATATTATCAGGATGGAAGGAATGTGGAAATGAAGGTTACCTCCATAGTTTTCCCAGCTAGCCAAACACACAAATGGCTAATTTCAGGCAAGAGTTGTGCCTTGGAATGTAAGCACAGAAGGCCAGCCTGTTGCCAGGATACCTTTCCCACCTCCCAGAATATCCACAAACCCCTTCCCCAAGGTCACTTTTGTGACCTTGGAGAAGCAGCCAGTATGGTTCTTTCCAGTGGGGGAGAAGCACTCCAAGTTCAGATTCTGGGTTCCAAGAGAGAGTTTCCAATTCTTAGAGGTGGGACTTTGAAAGAGAATGTGGCCATCTAAGTGCTGTCTAATGGCCATAGCTCCGTGCTGTAACTTATTGAGTTGAATCCAGACTGAGGCATACTTAAAGTCAACCCTTTGAAATTAGTGGAACTTAATCTGGCCATGGCATCTTGGCAATATCATTTTGCTTCCAGCCCTGCCCATTAATGGAATATTCTCCCAAATTGCTTATTTGAAATGGAACTCCACCCTTTGTCTGAAAAAGGTTCTGCATTCTTTCTGTAAACAATGATGATGACAGAAAAACCTTTATATCCATTCCTTCTTCCCTACTAATATCGCTATCACAGTTTCTCTCATTTCCAAAACCAAGAGTAGCTTGATTGCCAAAAGACAATCACCAACCAAGCTTAGAATCCATACTAAAGGCATTATACTAATATGGGTTTTAACTTAAAAAACCGCCTCTTATTTCTGCTTACGTTCTTCTCTGCTGTACACTTCAAGTAGATGAGAGTGATTAGTAAGATTTCCAGGCTTGTGTTCAGTTTGTGTGCAGTATGTTCACATGGAAGCTCTTGCTTCCCTCCAGGTTCTTCTCTGTGGTTGCCAGATGATTTGGCATGCATGCACCTGTGTCAAAGTGTTTGCCTGGGTATTTTGAGAAATGCTGTTTGAAGATAGCTACTGTCAGCTTGCTGAAGAATCCCCCCAAAGAAGAGTAGTGTCTTGTCGTGTTTAGGGTGTAGGATATGAGATCACCATCTTATAGTGGTATCTACATCAGACCCCCAGAGTCAGATCTTTCTCCTTCATCGTCACTCTTGTTCATCTTGAGGTACCTAAAAGTCTCAAGAGTAAATCCATGGGAGATAGAGAGTGCCAAGCTTACAAAAGGGCTCTGGAAGATAAGCAGGACAAGGAGGATGCCTTCCTGCCTGTACACAAAGGAGCAGCAGGCAAAATTGCTCATGAAGCTAGGCAAGCAAGAGCAATGCTGTCACAGCCAAAAGAAGGGGCGTGCCTTCCCGTCTGAAGAGCAGAAGAGAACTGCCAAGCAGTGAGAGGAGGAGGTGGCAGAGTCAGGATTCCTGATGCCAGCAGAGGCTTGCTGGCTTGCAGGGAGGTTTGGTGATTTTGAAGCAGCTGAAGGTAGTCTTGGAGGGAAAAGGAAAACCAGAGGTGAGGGAAAGGATGGTGGCAGAGATGTAGGAAAGTCTAACTGTGGCAGCAAAAGACCATGGCTCACTGGCTTGGCCTGCCCATGTAATAGGCAATAAATAAATAAAATTTCCTGGCTCAGTCTGGTTGCAGGAGGATGAAAGAACCTCCTGCACCTTCTACTTGATACAGCATGTGGCCCACCCATTGACAAGGACAGTGGGAATCACTGACCAGGTCATTAGAAAAAGACTGAACACGTGGGCCAGGGGCATGCTGGGGAATAAAATGCCAGGCAAGAGGCCATTGGAAATCATATGCCTGCTCCTCATCCTTCAGGGGAGGAAATGTCACTTCCATGTGAATTTGTGGGCACAGTATTTATTACACAGCAGGCATGATGACAGGTTTAAGGAATGGATAAGCCTTGGACTGAGCTCCTGGGTGGTAACAGCATCCATGTTGTATGCCACCACCAAGCCTATTCAAATGAAATAGGCTTAGTGGTGAGTAAAAGTGAGGACTGCTTATTATCCCAGATAAGTCTTTGCATATATTTTTTTTCTTTTCCCTTTGGAGCTAAGTGCTGCCTATGAATGCAAAAAAATGTTGTAAGCTATTCTGAAAATATTTTATCAAAGATAGATAAAATGTGTTTAGTTACTACATTATGAAAGAAAGTTGTTAGGACTTTCATAAATCTCCTGCTTCCTTCACTTGTCAAAAATAGAAGGTTTGTATCTATCTCTGAAGCCTAAAAGCACATTTTTCCTAGCATCATGTGAACCACATGGCATTGTCTAATAATTATACTATTAGGTTTAAAACAGCCAAATAAAACAATGCAGGCTTAAACTTACTTTCTTTTTCTTTCAGTTCTGCCTCCACTTTTCTTCTCCCACCCTTTAATCTGAGAAACATAATAACATTTGTTTATATTTGAACATTTGCTATACTTAAAGAGTTGTATCCAAAAGTTTTCTGTTCAGAAAAGTGTTGTTGTTCCAGTGGTGCTTACACATTCAGCTAACGGTTGTGCAAATGCAGCTGAAACAATGAGTACAAGCAACTGCTAGCATACTGGAGTAATGAGTAGGCTTGGACAAGTGGAATAATTGCATCTGACACTTCTACTACATGTTATAATTATTAAAGGTGTGAGCAGCACACCTGAGCCACATTGTTTAGTAATAATCAACTTGTGAGCCCGGGCTACCACACAGGGGGTTTCTGCATGCCCTCCACCATCTGCTAGTGTGGACTGGTGCTTAGGAACCTTACTATATGATGGCTCAGGTCATAAGTTGAATCCTACCAGCTGACAGAGCAGGCGGAATCCAACAGAGCACAGATTCTCTTTTGCAATCAGAATATACTATTTGCACAATAGAGATTTGATACTTTCTGCAGAATTCTTGAACTGAGTGGAAGCACAGCAGGTGGCAGGTTGGTGGAGTTCCCTTATGTGAGTTCTGCTGATCTGCCTCTTTCCAGAAATGAGTGTCTCCCCTTACTTCAGGTTGCCCCAGAAACACTATATTGTCTTTGTGCAAACAGTGAGGAGCACTTGCATGCTGGCTGTGGAAGAGGGTAAGAAGATGAGCCATGTAGAAGTGCAAGATTCATCAAAAGGATGCCACTACCTGTTAGGGTTGGTTCACCCATGTCTCTTCTATAGAAGTGAATGCCATTTTTGTCTTTAACTGTAAAGTCAAAAACAGTGGTGTCCTGTACTTTATCAGAGCCCACAAAATACTAAAATCACCTTTTACCCCACACTCTCAATCACATCATCTTGATCAAGAGTTTTCTGAGATGCCAGGTGATCACTGGTTACCAGGTGATCAGATATGCTAGTGTTTATGTCCATGTTCAGACTTTATGCTAAACCATTATTGTGTGCAATGTGAACAATCCACAGCGAAGCTCAGATTTGCTTGTTCCCCCTCTTCTCCCCACACCCACATGTCACTGGGAAGAAGCTTCCATTCCAGGTAACCAGAATACCTGAATTACCTAAAGCAGGAACTGTGGCTAACTATGGTTAGGACTAACTAGGGTTCAAATTTGTGGTCTAAAGTTGGCTTAAAAAATAAACCACAGTTGGTGTTAAACTTTGTTTGTCTCATCAAATGACAAAAGAAAAAGTAAAAAATGCAAATAAAAGTTTCTGAATCCCTGAACAGGAAGAGAAGGGATGAAGGCTGTGTGCTTGTTCATCTTATACCAAACCATTGTTTAGCATGATGTCTGAACATGACTTATTTTAATATACTAAGAAAAAATAAATAGTAATTTTGAAATAATGGCATCTACCATAAGCTGTAATGAATCATTTATTGATATTTTATTGTAATCCACTTAGGGGAGTCTCTTTTTGGCAAAAATTAGGGTATTAATAATACAATAATAAATAAATATCAATGTTATCAATAATATCTCAAAGCTGAGACAAGGTCTGGTTTCCAGTTGGGGGAAATATAACAATTGTACACAATAAAAACACTGGTTAGAAATTTAGGTTGAAAGCAGAAATTTGGTTTGTAAACAATGTAGTCTAATGATCAAGACTGTAAAAATATAGTTAAAACTTACCATCTTTTTGCATATTATTGTGCCTGTTTTTGATTTGGCTTCTTTTTCCTTTGCTGTGCCTAAAAACCATTGCAAAACCAATGAAACAATAATAATTGGCAAATAAAGTATTTTGCATAGTTATTTTGTTTTGTGATCCACTAAACCAAATTGTAAAGTAATACTGAATTTTTACCAAATAAATACCCATTAAAATGTAATACAGTAATATGAATTATGTTCTAAATTAAACAACAATGGCTTGGATGGTATATTTCTGTTCTGTAGTACCACTTACACAGGATCCTCACCCATTCACTCAATATACACAGATGCAGCCACACTGGGCAATTATTTTGTACCATGCTACCTCCTCCAGAAGTCATGTTATAAGGACATGGGGATCACGACAGGAGACATGTCGTTGTTGCATGGAGCACTGGGACAGCATTCCAGTTACCTCTGGAAGGTAAGTGGGTCAACCTCTGCATGTCAAACATATATATCAGAAGTAAGCAGCAAATGTAAAGGGCACAGATGAGAGGCTTACTGATCAAAACAACAGAGTCAGCAATCATTATACCACCACAGTTACTGGGTATGTGGGGGTGGCAAATTATGAAGTCAGTGTATGAAAAGAGTCAACTGTACCCTTCTTAGATAGGTAGCACATTTCAAGCCTTTCTTGAGCAGAATACGCAAATAATGTGTTTGCTTCTTCCAATGCACTTTTATACCAGGCTTTTTTCCTCTTGCATACATCTGGCTATGAAATAAAAAGTTGTCACAGTGTTAGCACTATTTTTTCTGCAAAACATGCAAAATAGAAAAATGCATAAGCAAGAAGCACAAAATAGGAATCAAATATGAAACCATCTTAATATCAAGCAAAACATCTGTTAGGAACTTGTATCCATTTTTCAGAACTTATGTGCACCAAAGATAGTTGTGTTATTTGTATGGCAGATTTGCTTTCAGCAAATTGTGAGCCTATTTTTTTCTTTAAATAAAAGGAAAGATGTGGTTGTTCTAGACATAAAAATGTCCCTGGGAGGTTGCTTTAGCACCCATGTCCTGTTTGTGGGTTTTCTAGAGGCAGCTGGTTGCATAAACAGAATGCTGAACTAGATGGAAATGTCCAGGTATAATGTCCAGAATATCTGGGGGGCACCACATTGAGGAAGTGTAGATTACTGCATGTTGGTACAGTTTTTAAAATGAATGTTTTTACATTTTTGGATCTTAAAAATGGATGTAAATCCAGACAGGAACAATGACTACATTTATGGAATCTAGTGTCAGCTACATATACAAACAAGCCTTTAGAAATGTTCCTATTGCAGTTTGCAATAGTACCATTTTAAAATGGAATTCATAGATGGAATTTAGTAAGCCAACCAAAGCACGCTCTTCTTATTTTTGTGCTATCTATAATGAGAGTTGAGAATTATATTGCTTTGCATGTAAAAGGAATTAGGTTTTCTGAGGTGAAAAGAGAGCTCTTTGAGGACTTCTGGGGCAGGAAACGCTGATGAGAAAGAAGCCTCCCAACAGATTATAGAGAATAATGAGAAAAGTGAAACAGTATAGTTTAGATCAGAGATAAGATGCATGGTACCTGTTGGTACCAATGCTCTCCTGAAAACCTTGCTTGACACCCACCCAGTGCTCCCATTTCTTTGGCTTAAGTAACCTATTTTCTTACTGAGAAATGAGATTATTGGGAAAAAGGGTTTTGTTGGTGCTGAAAATGCGGGTTCGATTGAGTTGTTTCCCAGGACAGTTAAAGTAGCCAAATGTGTCCATGGGTCAAAAAAGCTGCCTGCCTCTGGCTCAAACAAATGGAGACACTGGGCATTGTGCAATACTGGTGGTATCCCTCGGTTGGTTCCATTGTGTTCGTAGGAACTAGAACTTCCTAAAGGAACTTTGACAATAAGACGCAATATTCATTTGTGGAACAGACCTGGCCAGCACAGTTTCTTCTATAAGCTCTACTGACCTATAATATTGCAGAAAAGAATCTTTTGACTGGTTTCCAAGTGCTTCAGAAACTACTACATTCTCATTGAACTAGTGATAGGTTCCCCTAGTGCAGGGACAGTATTAAATACCATCCACTATGTTTTGCAAATACTTCATTCCTTAGAAGTAGAACTGAAGAAGCCATACTTTTTATGTTGTCCCAACACACTCTCTTCTGCCATGAACAGAACCATTTATCAGCTTCAATTATTACCTAATCTCTCTTATAGAGTCACTATAATGAACAGGAGTTTTTTTTTTCAACAGAATGAAAAGTATACCTGAGACTTGGAAGAAGGAAAAAACCAAAATGGTGTTTAACATAGTACTTACACATCAAAGAATATATTGTACCTTAGTGGATATTATGTATTATCAACTGAAAATCATATTATTTTGCTAAGGAAAAAAGTTAGACATCTTTAAGACCTTTTTATTTAAAACTTATTTTAATTGTTAATTTATTGGTATTTATAGGATTTTAAATCTTTTAAGCCGAGATGCACCGGGTTTTAATATTTTTATTGTATAATTGTTATATTTGTATAGTTTGTTCTTGTTGTGAGCCACCCTGAGGCTTTGTTCCAATGGGGGCGGCATAAAAATGTTTTAAATAAATAAATAACTAATGGCACTGAAGAAAGACTGCTATTCTTAATAATTTAGTCCATAGTATAAGTTATATGATGAAAGATGCGTGAGTTTAAACTGTTACCTTCATGTTTCAGAATTAAGCAAATTGAACAGAAATGCCTCTAGCTTGTTGCTAGGCACCAATAACTATATTCAACATCTAATCCCTGCTCATGCAGAAATGGTAAACTGCATTCTGATGGTAATAATAATAGGAATAAGAAGAGAAGAAGGAAAACTGATTAGAAGTTAGTAATATTTTCTCTATTTTTACAAACTTCTTGTTAAAAGACAGAATATTTACTGAAGAAAAGCTTTTCATGTAGTTAGATATTTTTCCATGTAAGAAGTTACAAAGAAAAGGGAATTTTATCCACACCTCTATGGATAAAAATGAGCTTTCACCAATATGGCATTATGTCTTCTGAGTAATAATAGGACAGTTTGACTTCTGCATACTGTTGATTGATTATTGCTTGGAGCCTCTGTTCTAGACTTTGCTGCATCTTTTTGGTATTACAAAATGTGAAACCAAATATGGAATACTTTTCTCCAGCTAACAACAATGCCTTTATAAGTACTCTGAGCCAAAAGTGCAGGTTTAAGCAGGTTTCATAGTATTCTTGAATCAACATGTATTCCCAAGGCATTGGGCAAGACTCCAACTAGATAAAATAAAATGGTAGAGAACACATACACAGGGCTGGCACTATCATTAGGAAAAGGCAGTCACCTCAGGCGTTGATTTTGGGCGCCTTTGTATTTGTTATTGCCGCTGCTGCTAACACTGTGTTCTCGAGAAGTACTCATAGGATTTTCTGACTTGGGTCCTATCCAATGCATCTGGGGAAGGCTGCTTTGCCTCAGGAAGTGAAGTGTGTTTGGCCAGTCCTGATCCCATAGAATATTTCAAGTTGGTGAAAAATCTGTATATTCTCTGATGAAACATAGTTTAAATGCGGTATAAAATTTAAACTAAGGGAGTGTTGTTCTGTGTTGGACAGGCAAACCCTAGCAACAGTCACACACACACTGGTGACCTCCCATTTGGACTATTGTAACTCAATGTGAGGTTGCCCTTGAAGATGAGCTGGACATTGCAATTGGCTCAAAATAAAGCTGCCAGATTGCTGATTGGAACCAGTACATGAGAAGATATTGTGCCCGTCCTATATCAGCTACACTTGCTACCAGTTGAAGTCCGGGCCTGATTCAAGGTGCTAATGTTGACATATAAAGCCCTTAGGACCTGGTTATCTAAAGGAACATCTCCTTCCATATGAGCCTACCTGGACTTTAAGATAATCTGCAGAGGTCCTCCTCCAAGAGCCCTCCTTGAAAGAGGTAGGGAGGGCTAGTATGAGGAGAAGGACCTTTTCTGCTATAGCACCCTGATTATGGAACTCGTTTCCCAGGGAAATGCACCTGGCACTGACACTTTATTCATTCTGGTGCTAGGTCAAAACTTTTTTACTCAGTTTTTAAATTAATTGGCATTTTATTTTATACCAAGTACAGGCACTAAGGAAATTTTAATTGTTGTATTGTTGATTATATTGCTTTTTTATTTTAAAAAAAATTAAACCATTTTGAGTTTCTGATGTACTTTATTATCTTCTTTTTCTCCTCCTCCTCCTCACCTAGGATAATTGGTTTTGCCTGGGAGCAGTACTTGATGAATAATGTGTCTAGATGCAACTTTGAACTTGGTCAGCCAGGCTTAGCATTAATAGTCTTTCAACCCATTCCACAACACTGTCCAAATAGGTGAAGCAAATTGTTTTTCTCATCTGTTTGTCATACAAAAATCCTTACCTGCTCTTTGGAAGTTATACTAGATATCCTATGTTGGATGTCCTTTTGAACCCTGCCACTTACATTACATAAGAACACAGAGAGAACGGAATAGTGATCTTTTAATAAAATAAATAAACATTCAATTTTTTGTTTGGAAGCTTATACACTTTTCAAATCAAATTGTTAAAACCAAGTTTTAAAATGGAATGAATTGTTTAGTTACATCTAAAGTTGCTTCAGCTAATTCAATCTTCTTTTGTTTTTAAAATGGCAATATCATAAGCTCACAAGTTCCTATTTATTTCCCCAAATTGCTCCAAATAATTATGCCAAGCAAAAGGTCTGGGTCTACATCTAATTCTGCAAGTGAAACAGATGCCACAGGTAGATCAAAATCCTGCCCCCACCCTGCTTCAGTCCTCCAGGTGCCCCTCAAACCAATCCAGGGGAAATTCTTTAGATCAGATGGGGGGAATGCAGGAATCTGCAAGGAGAAGGAGAAGTTCCACAGTATAAGCAGATGTCTATTTGTGTAATGTTGGATGCAGCCCTTGCTTGCCCTTTGAACAGCTATTATTAGAAAACAAGGAAAACTAGAATTATTCTAGTATAGTAATTTATTTTAATTGTCCCCATTTTGTAGGATCAACAAGGTAAATGCACTTGAAATACAAGGGAATATGTCACTCACAGGTTCTTCAGATTAATATAGTAATACACACATAACAATTTAATCTTATTCTGAGGAAGAAAGAAAAGTGGCAGATGGTTCACTACTCCCAAATCCTTGCTGGCTTGTGCCAGCCATGGCAGAAAGTAGGATTTTTTTTCCAATTCCCCTCATGAATTTCATGTGGGAGGCTAATTAACTTTGTCAAGTCCAGAGAGACATAAATGAGAAGTCCAATCTTTTATTGACTGTCAGGGGAACAAAGGACTTTGGATACAGTGGATCCAAGGTTGTTTTGGTACCCTTGACATGCTAGATCTATGCTTGAACAGCTTTCTGTGAGGCCTCTGGAGAGACATGCCCACCATTGCTAGCAGAGCTCCTCTCTTCCCATTCTAACACCCCTCCACCCAGTGGATCTGAGGGGTATGTCTGCTCTCAGAATAATAAACACATTTTAAAGGAATGGTATTGTGATGAAAGTATGTCTAATTGTCGATATGAGATTATTTCTCCCCAAATATTAGAATATAAATAGAAATGTATCATTTTTTTAGAATAAGGAAGGCTATAGTCCATATATTGAAGATTGTGTGCCACCTTGTGGTGAAACTCATCAACATGCTAAAAAATTATCTTTA